CGCTGATTCCCCAGGGGGCCTGAGAAGCTGGGCAGATCCCCGCTCCACCACTTTTTAGTTCCCTGTGTTTATGTATCTTTCTCCCCCACAAGACTAGGAGCTGCCCGAGGACAGACGGTGGCTGTTCTTCATTTTTTTGGGAGATCATCTTTTCTCTCCTGTGTGTGCCTGGGAAAGGTGTCCCACTCTGAGTTAGAAAACAAAAAAGGCATACTACGCAACCTACTGAAGACACATGCTGGAGCTTCTCACTCTCCCTCCCCTCTTGCTCCCTGCCTCCCTCTGGGTGCTGGGAGGAGGAAGCCAAACTGGGGTCCATCTAGGGTTCCTTTCCAGCCTCACTCAGCTTCCCCCCTTGTACTCCTCTCTGCCTGGTTCCTCACGAAGTCCCATTCTCATCATTTTTTTCCTTATTATCAGCTTTCAAAAACAGATCAGGACAGATCTGAATACTCATTAAGATAGAATTAAAGTAATTAGCAACAGTAGAGTTCAGTAAGCAGCAACATAAATGCCTGACCTGCACTGCCTGAACAGCATGGTTGATGCTGGCGTTCCCTGCTGGGGTTGGTTGCCCATTCAGTCAGCAATGGCCCCATGACGCCCAGGTAAACAAAGAAAGAAGCCAAACAAAATAAAACAAAAACCAAAAAATGGGCGGGGTTTTCACATCAAGACATGTTGAACTTTTTAATTTTTTAAAAAATATTTATTTATTTTACTTATTTGAAAGGCAGAGTTGCAAACAGAGAGTTCTCCATCAAATGGCCACAACAGCTAGGCTGGGCCAGACCAAAGCCAGGAGCTTCTTCCAGGCCTCCCATGTGGGTGCAGGGGCCCAGACACTTGGGCCATCTTGCACTGCTTTCCCAGGAGCATTAGCAGGGAGCTGGATTAGAAGTGGAACAGCTGGGACTTGAACTGGTGCCAAACGGAATGCTGGCATTGTTGGTAGTGGCTTTACCTGCTGTGCCACAATGCTGGTCCCGGTGGACTTTCTGATTTACATGCTTACATTTCAGTACTTTTATAAAGTATTTGTTGAGTGAATGATAAACGAAGCTAAAGTTGTCAAAATACAAGTTTTGAATGAAGATTTTTCTTTAAAAAGATATATTTATTTGAAAGGCAGAGTTATAGAGTGAGAAAGGGAGAGATAATGAGAGTGTTCTTCCATCAACTGGTTCACTCCCCAAATGGGCATTGTGGTGTAGCAGATTAAGCTGCTGCCTACAATGCCAACATCCCATATGGGTGCTGATTCATGTCCCAGCTACTCCACTTCCAATTCAGCTCCCTGCTAATGTGCCTGGGAAAAGCAGTGGAGGATGGTTCAAGTACTTGGGCCCCTGCATCCATGTGGGAGACTCAGATGAAGTTCCTGGCTCCTGTCTTTTTTTCTTTTCTTTTAAGATTTATTTTATTTATTTGAAAGACAGAGTTACAGAGAGATAGAGACAGAAAGGTCTTCCATCCGCTGGTTCACTCCCCAGATGGCCGCAATGGCCAGAGCTGCCCCCATCCAAAGGCAGGAGCCAAGAGCTTCTTCCAGGTCTCCCACATGGGTGCAGGGGCCCAAGAACTTGGGTCATCTTCTACTGCTTTCCCAGGCCATAGCAGGGAGCTGGGTCAGAAGAGGAGCAGTTGGGACTAGAACCGGTGCCTATATGAAATGCCAGCACTTCAGGCAAGGGTTTTAACCCACTGTGTCACAGCGCTGGCCCCTGGCCCCTGTCTTTAGCCTGTCCCAGCCCTGGCCAGTGAAGCCATTTGGGGAGTGAACCAGCAGATGGAAAACCTGTCTGTCTCTCCTTCTCTCTAACTCTACCTTTCAAATAAATAAATAAACCTTAAAAAAAAAAAAAAAAGAAACAATACTAGGGGATTAGAGGAAACACACATGAATCAAAAGTTAAAGAAATTGAAGCATATAAAAAAAGAGATAGATGTTTATATGGGAGAACCTGAGTCAATGGCAAAATAGTGACATAAACGAGCTTTGTTGGAGGCCTGAGAAGGAAGTGGTACTCTGGCCTCAGGGTTACTGAACAAAGTATGGAGGTGGGAATGCTCGCGGTGTGTTCCCGGGTTGCTGACGTAAATGATCTGGCGACTAAGGAGGGTTTTGTTTTGAGGAAATGAGACTGGAAAGCCTGCAGAGGTCTACGAATCTGAGGGTAAGAAGTGAGGTTTCATCTGTCACCATATGTTTCAAGAACTCCACTCGCAGTGAATACCTAAGAGAGAACTGAAAACACATGTCCATGTAAACACCTGAAGACAAATGTTCACAGCAGCAGCGTTGACCTTAGCCAAAAAGTGATGAGTGGAAAGCAAAACGGAATGCCTCCATACAATGCAATATTATTCAGTCAGAGAGAGTAATGAAGTTCTTTTTTTTTTTTTGACAGGAAGAGTGGACAGTGAGAGAGAGAGAGAGAGAGAGAGAGAGGAAGGTCTTCCTTTGCTGTTGGTTCACCCTCCAATGGCCACCGCGGCCGGTGCACCACGCTGATCCGAAGCCAGGAGCCAGGTGCTTCTCCTGGTCTCCCATGCAGGTGCAGGGCCCAAGTACTTGGGCCATCCTCCACTGCCTTCCCGGGCCACAGCAGAGAGCTGGCCTGGAAGAGGAGCAACCGGGACAGAATCTGGCGCCCCAACTGGGACCAGAACCCGGGGTGCCGGCGCCGCAAGGTGGAGGATTAGCCTAGTGAGCTGCGGTGCCGGCCCAGTAATGAAGTTCTGATCCATGTTACAACATGGATGAACCTTGGAAACACTATACTAACTGAAAGAATCCAGGCAGAAAAAGGCCATGTGTTGCATGAATCCCTTTACACAAAATAATAATAATAATTAAAAAAAAGCCAATCCATGGAAACAAAAAGTAGATTAGTGGTTGCCAGGGGTTGAAGGGAGGGAGGAATGGGAAGTGACTACTAAAGGGCACAGGGTGGGGACCCTTGTTGTGGCTCTATGGGTTAAGCTGCCTCCCGCAACAGGAGCATCCCACAGAGCTGCCAGTACGAGTGCCGGCTGCCTCACTTCCAATCCAGCTCTCTCCTAATGCACCCAGGAAAGCAGCAGAGGATGACCCAAGTAGCTGGGTCCCTTCCATTCACAAAGGAAACCTGGATGAATCTCCTGTCTTTAGCCTGGCCCAGCCTCAGCCGTCGTGACCATTTGTGAAGTGAACCAGCAGACGGAAGATCTCTCTCTCTCTCTCTCTCTCTCTCTCTCTCTCTCTGTCTCTGTCTCTCTCTATCTCTCCCTCTCTCTCTGTAACTCTGCTTTTCACATAAATAAATAAAAAATAATGAAAGGTATGGGGTTTCTGGGATCATTAATCCTCAGTCTGGGAGTAGAACACCTGACCATAGATCTTCTTTTTAAATTTCTTGATGTACAGCTAGCATTGCTTAAGTATATAAGAGACAAACACCTTCAGTTTAGTTCTGTGCAGCTTCCTTCTACTCAAAGCAAAACCAAAACAGTTGAACACACAAACTCAAATCCAGGCTAAATGGTAAATTTCATTTTTACAGACTCTGCTTTTATTTGGGTCTTCAGTGTGAGTACATGAGGTGTTGCCTCAAATGAGTATTTTAAAAATGCAAAGGATAGACAATTATTAACACATCCCCATGACAACAACAAAAAAATGTTTTGGCTTGCATTGAAATTTGAATCAAAGACACATAGTGATTCGCTACTTTAGGAAAAGTCTGGAGTCTTTTGCTGGCAAAATGGATCCTTCAATGACGAAAGATGGTGCTTCGGTGGTCTGTTTCTCAGGTGGTGCTGGCTGACTTGGGCCTTAGTTCTGGCTCTGCTCACCATTTGCTGACTTCAGACTAAGCCATGTGTTGTTTCCAGCCCTCATGCAATATTTGGAAAAAAAATATATTGTCGGCCGGCGCCGCGGCTCACTAGGCTAATCCTCCGCCTAGCGGCGCCGGCACACCGGGTTCTAGTCCCAGTCGGGGTGCTGGATTCTGTCCCGGTTGCCCCTCTTCCAGGCCAGCTCTCTGCTGTGGCCAGGGAGTGCAGTGGAGGATGGCCCAGGTGCTTGGGCCCTGCACCTGCATGGGAGACCAGGAGAAGCACCTGGCTCCTGCCATCGGATCAGCGCGGTGCGCCGGCCGCAGCGCGCCGGCCGCGGCGGCCATTGGAGGGTGAACCAAAGGCAAAGGAGGACCTTTCTCTCTGTCTCTCTCTCTCACTGTCCACTCTGCCTGTCAAAAAAAAAATAAAATAAAAAAAATATATATATTGTCATGTGGCAGCCAATGGGAATACAGTGCAAAACGAGACAGATGTGTTCCCTGTTCTCATGAGGTGGAAAATCAAGCTTCAGTTTATTGCTTTTGAAGTGGAGAGTCTGAACTAAATGGAGTCCAAGGTCTGTGGTACTTTGCTAAGATGGCTTAGAGGTAGAACATGGACCAGAGTGGTAACTAGTGGGAGTCTTCCCGCCTCTGTGATTTAAAGGAACACATATGCAAATTTCTTGGGCAGCCTGTTCTCCACATTTGCTGTGGAAGGGAAACAAAAGCGAACTCTTCGGCTTACATTGTTTTCTGACCTCTTTATTCCACTCTTAGAATGGCCAACACTGAGAGTCAAAATGTTTAAAAACATTTTCATGCCTTCACACAAGCCTGTATCACAACTCACAACCAATCTGTTTATGCATGTGTCAAGCATTGAAGGCACTTCCAAATTTGTCACTCAGTCAGAAAATCAGCCCAAACCTGACTGACATTGTAGGAATCTCCATACAGATTCACAAAGTCTGAGAGCCTGGCTGTGGTGCTCAGTGCCAACACAAGACCATATTCCTGCCTTCCAGGTGAAAATGTGTCCCTTCAAAGGAGGATGAAAATAAGCTCAGATGTAAACTATTGAACTCTTTCCATGTGGTTAATTAATACATCTTAATTTCTGGAAAAAAAATATCCTTATACTCTTGTTCTAAGCAAATTATTTTTCTTCCAGAGAACAAGATTTTGGTGAAGCAGTCTCCCATGCTTGTGGTGAATAACAACGAGGTCAACCTGAGCTGCAAGTATACCTACAACCTCTTCTCCAAGGAGTTCCGGGCATCCCTCTATAAGGGAGCTGACAGTGCTGTGGAGGTCTGTGTCGTGAATGGGAACTTCTCCCATCCACATCAGTTTCATTCAACTACAGGGTTCAACTGTGATGGAAAATTGGGCAATGAAACAGTGACTTTCTACCTCAAGAATCTGTACGTTAACCAAACAGATATTTACTTCTGCAAAATCGAGGTCATGTACCCTCCTCCTTATCTAGACAACGAGAAGAGCAACGGAACCATTATCCACGTGAAAGGTAACACCCGACTCTACCAACAGAGTATCCTAAAGTAATGCTTTGCAATTGCAGTCCTGAAAACCAGCTCATGTTTAGGGGTGAGGCTGGGTAAGTCCCGTGTGATTGGAGGCTAATAAAAGCAAATTATGTTTCCAAAAATTATTATCTTCCATTTTAGAAGAGATTCAAGGTTATGTTTTGAATATTTTTACGTTCTCTGACAATGAGTGGCAAGTTATAGTCCACGGTCATGAATCATTCACAAGATTGTTCTTCATTCAAATGGGTCATGGCAGAAAAATGGTTTCCATCAAAATCTAAGCCCAGGTACACAGAGGAAGGAGCTGCATCTAATGGATCAGGACTTAAGAAGAACAGGTTCTATTTCTAATTAATTCTCTCTTTATGTTCCATGGTCTTCGTCAGTAAAACTACTTTTCCATTTTCTAAAACATACAAAGGTAGGCCAGCGCCACGGCTCACTTGGCTAATCCTCCGCCTGTGGCGCCGTCACCCCTGGTTCTAGTCCTGGTTGGGGCGCCAGTTATGTCCCAGTTGCTCCTCTTCCAGTCCAGCTCTCTGCTGTGGCCCAGGAAGGCAGTGGAGGATGGCCCAAGTGCTTGGGCCCTGCACCCGCATGGGAGACCAGGAGGAAGACCTGGCTCCTGGCTTCGGATTGGTGCAGTGCCGGCCGTGGAGGCCATTTGTGGGGTGAACCAATGGAAGGAAGACCTTTCTCTCTGTCTCTCTCTCACTGTCTAACTCTGCCAGTCAAAATAAATAAATAAATAAAACCTACAAATGTCTAGAAACCAGGGGACATAAAATTTGCGTTCAGCCAACTCTGTGAGCTTGGATAAATCATCCATTATATTCATGGCCCAAAACTCCACTATAAAAGCACCTCAAAAAGTTTATAGAAAAATTAAAAAGTTTATATTGGTGTAAAAATTTTTTTGAATCCATGCAGTTTTTTTATAATGCCTATTTCCATGTACTTTATAAAGACCTCTCATATATCTGATTTCAAAAATTTTTTTACACTAAAAATATTGTTTTTACAAGATTTATTTATTTATTTGAGAGGCAGAGTTACAGATAGGGAGAGAGACAGAGAGAGGTCTTCTGTCTTCTGGTTCACTCCCCAAATGGCCATGATGGCTGGGTCTGGACCAGGCCAAAGCCAGGAGCCAGGAGCTTCTTCCAGGTCCTCCATGTGGTACAGGGTCTCAAGCACTTGGGCCCTCCTCTACTGCTTTCCCAGGCCACAGCAGAGAGCTGGATCAGAAGAGGAACACTGATATGGGCTGCTAGCATCGCAGGCAGAGGCTTAATCTACTACATCACAGTGCTGGCCCCTAAACTTATTTTTTAATTCTATTTTTCCATGAAATTTTTGAACTCTTAGATTAAGCAGTACTCATAAATTTGTAAAAATCCATCTACTTAGCTTATTTTGAGATTATGTTCTTTTTAAATATTAGGTAGTAAAATCATAAGATTCCCAAACTGAGAAGAATATCATTTATTGGTGGAAACAAGTAAAATTGAGAGAGATCATATAGAATTATGGAAATACTATGGTTTTTCCTATCTGTAGAATGATAAATAAGAAAGTGCATGCTCACTTTTATATTTAGTGCTAGTGTAATTTCTTTCCTTTTTTCTCTTCAAAATTTAAGTTATACAAATTTCATATATACAGATTTAGAGTAAAATTTCAATAAGTGGCTTTTCTCCTCCTTTGTGGTGACAGAGCTGTGCTGGTGAAAAGCCTAAGGAAAGAGCTATTAATTTAACGTAGCAGAGTAGTTTTCGTGTTCTTGTAGAATAGAGGCAGTCCATGTGTGGATGCTCTGCTTGCTGACTCTCATTCAGATTTCTAGTATCTAGTATGTCTAGAGAGAATACTTTAATTGGATCAGGTCCAAAGTTAAAAAAGTATGCTTTCGGAAGCTGAATGAAACACATTTTCTCATGGAACTGATACACTATATTGGAATAGTGTTTTTATATACTTTACATACTTATATATATGTACACATATATTTTAATATCCCATATTATACATATGGGATATCACTGATATTAGAACTCAGAGGAAACCAATGATCCTACACTCAATAATTTTCAGTCCTGTCTGCATATTATAAACCTGGGTAGGCTTAAAAACACGCTGATGCCTGGGCTCAACCCTGAGACGCTGATGTAATCTGCTGGAAGTTTTTTTATTTTCAAACTTCCTCAGATAATTCTAATGCGCAGCTGTGATTAAAAATCAAATGGGTAGATGGTTTATGGTAGCCTCTCTCATTCTGTTTCCCTCTGGTTTTGAATAGAACCCTGGGTTCCTTCTCCTGCTCTTCCTGGGACCCACCATCATATAATCTATTCGACAGAGGCGAAGCCCTATGACACTGATGATTTTCTTAAGGCTGGAAACCATGTCTGTCATTTCACTTACGGCAGGGATAGCGTTTAGACACTGGATGAACTGGTTTCTGATGTAGGCAAGGGGTTGGAGCTGTATTAAAGCCATTAGCGAGCACTGTTTTTGAGTCATACTGTGGATTCAAAAAGGCGAATGCAACTCTTCCTGTATCACTTCAGAGCAATGGCTTCCACTTGCAGTCTTGAAAACTGACCAGGCTGGGGTGAGTGGTGGGCATGAAGAAGCTCTAAATAGTAACATTTTGCATATTTCTATTTCTTTTCCATTCTTCTCTGATGTTCAGAAGGAAGAAAAGGTATTTAGCTGCCATTCCCATATCATTTAACCCACTCTATTTTATTTTTCAGAGCAACATTTTTGCCCAGCTCACCCATCTCCAAAATCATCGACGCTCTTTTGGGTTCTGGTGGTGGTTGGCGCAGTCCTGGCTTTCTATAGCATGCTGGTGACAGTGGCCCTTTTTTCTTGCTGGGTAAGAGAAGCAGCCCTGTCTTTATGTAACTTTTCCACTGCACATGCAATTTGAACCTATTCAAGGATGTTGCCTAGGTGATTTCTGTTTAACATATGCAATTATTATTTTGTTTTTCTGCTAGGTTTGGGTAGGTTCTCTTTCAACCTTTTCAACCTTATCTCAGATAAAAATCAACACTAATTCTCTCTTTCAGAAGACAATGAATCAGAAGCTAAATGGGCAAAGGGGTGAGGGGTTATGGACAGTTACCTTTCTTCTTCCCATTTTGCAACAAAATTGTGAAAAGTATAAAAATCCAGTCAACTCAGGAAGCGAGGCAACTGAATCCAACGAACAACTGTGCTTCAGGGACAAAAATCATGAGACACTTGCCTACTAAAATTGTGTATTCAAATCTGCAAGAAACTAGGTCTGTTTATCTGAGTCATATTTTTGTCTCCTCTGAAGCAGTTGAATTCTGTGAGGCCAAGTCTGGTGTTATCATTATGAAACTGTAATGGGAGCTAAGCTTTTCTTAGCTCTCACCACTGAATTGGAGTTTAACAATTTTTGCAAATGATCATGCAATAAACTTGGTATACTTTTCGTGATCTTCCTTAACGCTGAATTTTTGGCCGAGGGTTTTAACACATTTTTATGACCATATTTACTGTTGAGAAGGGACCTTTGTAGCAAAGATCTTTTCTTTCCTTTCTTTCTTTCTTTTTTTTTTTTTTTAGAAAACTTGTTCTTTTGTGCACAACATGACACAGAACTTCATGACTGATTCCATGTTGTCTCCCCCCCCCCTCCCCGGAAATTCAATGTATACACAAGTCGTTTCTTGAATGAGAAACGCATGCTTCCCAAGGCAAGGAGTATTTCTCTTGATGTTCTCCATTCATTTGGTATTAGGTACATTAAATGCGAAATATATGCATGCTTATTGGGTTGACAAACTTGCAACCCCTACACCAAATTAAGGACTTAACTGAGTCTGCCTGAAGTATGGCATTCATCTTTAAAGAATAATCCAGAACTTTAACTAAGCCACATGTGGGTCAGTGATTTCTGAAATTCAAGCCATGTGAAGCCATCCTGCTTGCTAGAGCCTGGGTGCTGAGGGCATGGCCCTGGATTCACAGTCTTGCTATTCTATCATTCAGCTTTACATCCTTAGACTCTTGATGGTCTATTGCCAAGGGTTGCCTCTGGATTGTTTACCCACATGCCCCGTGTGGTTCATTTAAGGTCCGTGTGGCCCTTGGAGGGCAGGTGAACATTTGTCAGGCTGACATTAACTAATCTGTATCTTCTTCAGGGTAGGGAAATAAAGTGGTTCCTTGTCCCTGGGAATTCTTTATATGAGATTTTTTTTTAAAGATTTATCTTTATTTACTTGAAAGGGAGAGTTAGAGAGAGAGAGAGAGAGAGAGTCAGAGAGATATTCCCTCTGCTGGTTTACTCCCCAAACAGCTGCAACAACCAGGGCTAGGTCAGGCCACAGCCAGGAGCCAGGAGCTTTATCCGGATCTCCTACATGGGTGGCAGGAGCCCACGCATCTGGGCCATCTTCTGCTGCTTTCCCAGGCATTATCAGCATGGAGCTGGATTGGACGTGGCACAGCTGGGAGTCAAACTGGTACCCACATGGCATGCTGGCATTGCAGGCAGCAGCTTAACCCATTATGCCACGATGCTGGCCTCACGAGATATCAATTTGGGAATTTGCCTGGCTTGTCCTTTGTAGGCTGTTCAATTCTGATGGGGGTGCTTTAGCACAAAAAAAAAAAAATCCCTAAGTTCTGTTTCTGATGTTAGCCAAGTACTTGCATCTTTCTGGGGCTTGGTGTCCTCATCCCAAATACCTTTTCACTTTAATCCTCTGTGGTATTTGCCAATGATTTTAGAATTCTTAGTTCTGATTATTCCCTAATGCCTTTTATGGATTTTCTGCCTGCTATATGATTTTCCAATCCTCTCACTGGAAATCTCAACTTCTTAACATAAAGGCCAGGTACAATGGCCCCTTGGCTATCCTTCCTGGAAAGGTGCTTCCCTGTGATATGCTGACCTAGGTCAAAGTAATTAACTAGCTTTGAAGTTGATTTGGGAATTGCTTTAACCTTCAGTGGCCATAAGGGTACTGCTCACCATTTAAAATTTATCATAAATATGAACTAGAATGTTAGATATTATAATGAGGCATTAATTTGCTGAGTGATTCGAATCACCCAAAAGGACAAAAGCAACTTAACACTTTCAATGTGTTCAACAGTTCACTTTCAACTCAGACAGGCTGTAGACACTACAGCTTTGTCTTTGATGACACCCCTAATTCTTGGGGAGGTTTACCTCGCTTGAGAAAACTTATTTTGGTTTTATTCTGTCTCACTGGATCCCTATGAATTGGGAAGTTGCAGGGCTTAGTGTGTCTTGTCACCTGTGGCCTCTGATAGTCAATCATATAGCTCAGTAAGATCTAGCCTTTAATTGCATGATGAGCCTCGGTTTTCATATTCTTTGACCAAAAGTGTGTACATACACTTTCATCGATAATTCACAAAACAGCATTTTTTGCCCTGGGCTTATCTTTTACTGTTGCTGCAACAAGCACCATGTTGCATCTAGGCCATTAGGGATCCCCAGAGTTTAACCTTTCCTGGGCTCCTGTTTTGGGCTGGTCTGCAGTGTGCTCTGGTGTAAGTTACCATTTTGGGGAACTTCCTTAGGGCCTGTGAGTTCTAGGCTGAGTGGGTTTCTGGGAGCAGCTGCAGATTCTATCTCAGTTCTTGACCTGATGTTGACATTTGAGTAGATAAAGAGCTCTCTTGGGGAGCCTGCCATAGACTAGCACCTGTTACTGTCCCTCAATTCTTCACCCACTCAGTTGAACTGGTAAACCAGTTCCCTTTCCAAATCTAAAAGAGCCTTTTTAAAAAACAATCCTTCCTACTGTAGATCACAATGTAGGGAATGTGGATGGTACATGTACAGGTGGTATGTACCTTTAAGTTCGGTAGAGTCTTGAAGATTGTCTTTAAATAGATTGCCTTATATCTGCCCTGTGTATTGCTGTTGTTCCCAGGAAACAAGTGGGTAACACTGGAGTGGAGGGAAAGGCAAAGTGGGAGTGTGGTTCTCAGATTACACATCTTTAACAGACACTGACTATGAAGGGGTGGAATAAGTGACACAGTCACGTGGACATATAAAGTGGGTACTCCCTGCACACGCGCGCGCACACACATACACACACACGCATATGCTAGATGCACCTTGGCACTGGGGGTTCTGTATGGTGTTCCAAAGCCGTGCATGTGTCATTTCCCCTTATGACTGTGTTTACAGCTAGACTGATAATAACTAAATCTACCATCTGACACTAGCAGGAGGATAAGTCTGGGAGAGGACTGCAGCAAGTCCTTCACTATCTTGGTGTGCAGACTGGAAAACCTCAGAGTCAAAACTTCTTTGTTAGGGGGGCTTCTCTTCCCACTGTAGTGTTCGGGGTTTCTGGAAGCAGACTCTAACTTGGGGGCTTGGTGAAAGGAGTCCTCAGGGCTGGAGTAAGTACTAAAAATACTTCCCAGGGTATCACTAGCAGTTATTTGGGGGAAAACACTTCCTTGTCCTCACCCCTGCCCTGTGGCAACACTATTCCCAAGAGAGGTCTAGTATTTCATTCATAGAAAAACTAAAGAACCAAGATGTTTATTGAACAACTTAATTCATATACTTGGTTTCCATGAGCCCTTCTATTTGAATGAATTCCTCAATTATGCATATATAATGTTATCCTTTCTGCTTAGTTCCAGATAGATAACCCAACTAGCCATCTCACATTCCATATGATCCAAGCTGAATTTATAATATTTTCTTTCAAATCTATGTCTCCTACTGTCTTGCCTTACATCTGTGGATGAAGATAATCCTAATAAACCCACACTCAAATAATTGGTCATTCAGTTTGAGCAAGGAAGACTCAAGCCATCTGATGACAGTCATTCTAAGTTCATAACATTTTACTTTCCTTCCTTTTCATACCATTCTTGTTCATGACCACTCTTTAAATCAGGATTTCCCAGTCTTGGCACTGTTGAAAATTTTGGGGGCTCAGTACTTCTTTGTTGTAGGGGACTCCCCTTTGTATGGGAGGATGATTAGCAGTATCTCTGGCTTCTTCCCATTAGATGCCAGAAGAATCATCATGGTGACAAAACAGAGTATCTGTTACAAAACACAAGTATAATCAATAGGAGAGTGCTGCTGAGAGCCCATGAAGCTAAGGACTGAATCCACATTGGCTGTGCAGAATGACATGGAGATCAGTGTTTTTCACACTGTTCTATAGCACTTACTCATGCCCATTGCAAAGGAGGTGTGCAGGTTTTGGGAGTGCCTGGACACAAAGTCAGGGCAGAAGTCATTCACCTCTTTGTTTATTTGGGTATTTCTGTCTCTCATGTCCAGTGGATCTACTGCTGTATTGGGCCTATATACTGTAAATATGTGTTTTTTTCCCCATAATAGAGACTTTGGAACCCAGAAATCTAGATGACTTTCTAGAATTTTTAAAATTTTTATGGGCCTTTAGTTTTAAGTGGAAGTTTTATCATCAAATTGATCAAGAAATGAAACTTTGCCAAGATTCATGGTGAGGGTAACTCTTGCTTCAGTTCAGTATCACTCCTAACTCCCTCACTCCTGCCAGAAATTCATGCTGACAGTGCTGAATGACACGATTTATGAAAATACAAACACAGAATGGAATAAGAATGTGACTAGTTGTCCAGAACTGTAAATCCTCATTAATTTGGACTCCACCATCATGAATTTATGAATTTTCCAGGCCATGGTGAGTTACGGAAAAACAGTTAAGCAAACGACTGATGTAAGATTACAATGAGGGGCCGGTGCTGTGGCATAGTAAGTTAAGCCTCCCTCTACAGTGCTGGGATGCTGGTTTGCTTCCCAGCTGCTCCTCTTCAGAGCCAGCTCTCTGCTATGGCCTGGGAAAGGAGTAGAGATGGCCCAAGTTCTGGGGTTCCTGCATCCATGTAGGAGACCCGGAAGAAGCTCCTGGATTCTGGCTTTGGATCTGCCCAGCTCTGACCATTGAGGTCATTTGGGGAGTGAACCAGCAGATGTAAGACCTCTTTATCTGTCTCACCCACTCTCTGTCTCTAACTCTGCCTCTCTAATAAATAAAATAAAAATAAATATTTTTAAAAAAGATTACAATGGGGATGCTTAGCCTAGTCCAACAGGAAGGGCCTTAGTCCACTTAAATATATACATTGCATATGTTAATTAGATAAGTTTTCAGAATTCAGACCGAATGACAGCATTGAGAGTAATATGGATAAGTTTCTCTAAACTATTTCCTTCATTTGAGATTTCTCAAGTGAATTTAGAATAGCCAGTATTTGATTAACCAATCCTTACCCAGGCCCCAGGGACTCATGGGATGCTGGTGTCCGTAGGTACCTACAGTTGGCGTTCTGAATAGTTGTGTGCAAAGTCCTAGAACTCTTCCCATGATGTGTCCTCTGCACCCCTCCACACTGACACTCTTCTCTCCTGCAGATGAAGAGTAAGAAGAACAGGCTCCTTCAGAGTGACTACATGAATATGACTCCCCGGAGGCCTGGGCCCACCCGCAAGCACTACCAGCCCTACGCTCCAGCACGAGACTTCGCAGCCTACCGCTCCTGACACGGACGCCTATCCAGAAGCCAGCCGGCTGGCACCCCTCCACCTGCTCAACAACACTGCTCTGGATAGGAAAGAACCGCCTCATTTTCAGCCGGCCGCCTTGGGTCCCTGTTAGGCCACCAATGCCAACTTTTCCTGAGTGACTGGACCAAGGATTGAGAACATTTTGAAACTCTACAATGAAATCAAGGAAATTTCCGGTGGTACACTGTGTCTTGCAGTGCCATGTCCAAATTCAAGTTTACCGTGTATTTATTGATGATGGAGAAGATAGGGTAGCTTCTGTTAGCCTTGAAATCGGCTTCCCAGCTGCTGACTGAGCCCAATTCCTTCCTCGCTCACCCGAGCATCTCAGTCAAGCAAAATGGCACACTCAAGGACATGTTAGATGGAGAAGAAAGGCTAGAAAATCATTCCCTTTGGTTAAATGGGTGTTTAGGGTGGGGATAGGTTAGAGTGGGGGTGTGGGAGAATGAAATATTTTAAAACCGTTAAAACACTGTCTCTTGTTCATGAAATGAGCCACTTAGTTCCTATTTGATGCTTTTTTTCTTTTTAGTTTAGAAATATGTAGACCTTGCTTTTGATGAGATCTGACCGCATTTAGTAACTTTGGCCAGTGGAATCATTTAAAGGCAGTATTAGGCAAAGCAACTTGCCTTCCTCACCCCCTGAGATGGGGATCCAGTGTTCATGTTCACGACATGATTCCAAATGAATAAATTAACCCTCCCACTCCAAGGAGAGTGTGGCAGGAAATAAGGTCACTTTATGTCAAAAATATGTGAATACTATGAAGGATGATTTGATTGCCAGCTCATTCCAGCCAAATCATACAGCGACTTCTGTGTTTCACACCTTTCATGTGTGCACAGTTAGTCTCTTTATTGTCGGGGTAGAGATCTGAGGTGCGATGACAAGAGAGTGTCCCCTGGGGAAGCGACGATCCTGTGAAAAAGAGGTGTTAGCATTCACTGGGGCACAGGAGAGCGTTCTGAGAGGCTTCTGGTGAAACAGAGATTAAAAGGGAATGATGCGATTTGCTGAGGAGGTGGCCGGTATTGGGTGGACGTTTTCCAGAAGATATTAGGCAGAAGGAGCTGTGGTGAGAATTCCTTTACAGGGAGTTTATGTGCTTTAGGGCTCAGAGCTTCAGAACTCTGTGGGCTCCGTTGCCTCCGCACCCTGGATGACCACTGACATGGAAACACACTCTGGAGTGTGTCTTTTGAGATGGCATCGAAGTTCTCAAGAGACTCTGTAAGGCTTAACCCTGGAATGACCGTTGTGTTTCCTCTAGTTTGGGTCAACTAGAGGGATGACTTGCGGACCTTGAGGGCTGGTTGTACTGCTGCCTTTACAGCTCGTGCAGTGCTCTGCTTTATTCAAGCTTTGAGGAGTGTAGGTTTCAGAGGCAGACAGACAAGGTTCAAGTCCCAGTGCTAGGTCAACGTCCTCAGGAAAGTCACTAGAGTCTACAATGATAAAATGGAGATAAATGATCACAAATGTCTGTTCCTAGACTATAACCTCCATGAGGGCACAGCCCAAGTCTGTCTTTGACTTTGCTTGTCACTGGCGTTTAGCATCATGTCCAACATATAATGTTAGCTATCAATATTTTTGCCATGTAGAGAAACTGTGTATAAAAATTAAACTAGGCAATGACCTAAGAAGGGAAGGAAGACTGTAACACACATTTAAACCCACTACGCAGGCATGAGGTGCTACAAAAATATGAGAACCTCTTATTTTCCATCATTTTCCTGGAATATTTCATCTTAGAACAAATTATAGGGCATTTATTCCTCACTTTTATGTATATAAAGAAGCTTTAGTACATTTTTGTTGTTGTTGTTGACAGGCAGAATTAGACAGTGAGAGAGAGAGACAGAGAGAAAGGTCTTCCTTCCATTGGTTCACACCCCAAATGGCCACCATGGCCAGCGTGCTGTGCCAATCCGAAGTCAGGAGCCAGGTGCTTCCTCCTGGTCTCCCATGCGGGTGCAGGGTCCAAGGACTTGGGCCATCCTCCACTGCCTTCCCGGGCCACAGCAGAGAGCTGGACTGGAAGAGGAGCAACCGGGACAGAACCGGCGCCCCAACTGGGACTAGAACCCGGGGTGCCAGCGCCAGGTGGATTAGCCTAGCGAGCTGTGGCGCCGGCCCATTTTTCTAAATGTAGGGAAGAAGGGATGGGTTGGAATCTTATTATTCCAGATAGAAAATGCTCTACTCGGTTGATTTTCACATGGGCTTCCAGTTCAAGAATTTGATGAATCCAGAGAAAGTCAAATTCAGCAGCACATAGGAGATGAAGGACTTGAATTTCCACCAACACGTGTGCTGCTTGCCAGCCTCTTGGCTCACAGTTCTTCAAGACAAGTTATCAGATTGTATTTTAAAATGACAGAGCTGGAGAGTTTTTAGAAAGGACAGTGTCAAATAAATAAATAAACCTGAAAAAAAAAATGGAAAGATTTGATCTTTGGCAATAAATGGTTGTATTGTCTAACTGGAAAAGTAGGCTTCCTGAAGGTGAATCACACTTGAGATTTTTCTTACTCACTCTGAACAGGACCAAAGTAGAAATGTTATCTAGGGAAGTCCATTTTCACTATTAGTGTGAAGCAAGAAATGGTTTAAAAACAGTGGTTACGGCAATGCTTTTACAGTTTCAGATATAGTAATTATGAAGAAAACAATGTCATTTGCTGCTATTATTATTATAAGAGTCTTACAATTAATGGTATTCCTGTAATTTTTGATTGTGAGCTCAACTATTTTGGGCCAAGCATGCTAAGTTAAGGAGACAAAGTGTACGTTATGATCTGTGTATTCAGTGATAAAATTGCTAAACTATGGTGTGTCTGTTTTTCAAAATTTGTGCTTGAATGTTATCTTTCAGAGCAAGTATGCTTCACTTTAGTAATGAATCTGGAGAAAACTTGCTATTTAAAAGAGGTGTGCTATAAATCCTTTTATAAATCTCTGGTTTAGGTTCTTCTGAGAAAAAAAAAAAATCCCAGATTTCCAAATGTAACTTTACTTTAAGCAAGCTATATTTTTGTTTTGTTTGCTTGGCTTCAAACTTTCTCATCAGACCACTGGTTTTCTTTTCTGAGGCATCAGGCTGGGCTTCCCTGTGCGTTCTGTGTGATGTGAATACTTCGACATTGACTCCATCAGTCCCATGGGTTAATTAATTGAGATGCCAGTCCTCATGGCTATTTTAAAGAGAGTGTTGATCGTTGATGGTCAAATGGCTGTCTGGTCCATTTGGCACAAACTTTTGCATTGCCAAATGGGAACAACCATGGTTCTGGGGAACAATCTCAAAGTGTTAAATTTACCTCCATGCTGGAGGCTGGAGATGGTGCCCATGATGGGCCTAGAACCAGGCTCATTCCTGCCACAGACCTTTAACCCACATCAAAGTCAGTGGCATATACTCTCAAGATCTGGGGCAAAAGACTCTATAGTATCTGCAAGGCCACTGAGGCTCAGAAAATCTCTTCCCTCCATACTTCTCTCCAAGCATCACAGGTATGCTCCCATTGCAAGACCTTCACAGTGTTATTTCCTTTGTCTGGAATATTCTTCCTGAGATATCTGCCTGTCTTGCTCCCACACATCTTTCAGGTCACTACTCAAGTGTCACCTTCTATTCTAGCTGGTTTTTCCCATGCCATCTGCTTTCTTTGCTTATTTTTTTTCATAGCATTTTACCACCTCCTACAATAGATGTTTCACTTATTTATTTATATACTGTTGGTTTCCCCAAATTGTAGGCTAAGTTCCATAAGGGAAGGAACTGTTTTATTTTTTGGTGTATCTCCAGTGCCTAGAAAAGTGCTTACTATGTAAAGATTATTTATTGATGGAATGATTTTCATGTGGTCTTACAAATTAATGGTCAATTTTAACGTTCCAATCACACTCTGAGAAGGAGGGAGCCAGTTCTATTTTCCATTTCCTGTTACTAAGTTCAAAAATTCACTTTATTAGAGAAATAGGAGGTACAACATACATGCTGCTCAATTTGCTTTAATAAAATCCAATGTTCACTTACATTTTAGGAATTTTTGTGCAGTGAGGAGAACCAATACTTGGAAACAAACTAAAAAGTCTTGCCAAATAAGCCACAGTCAGGAGTAAGCTAACTTTCCACTGAGGTCCCAAAATTCCCTCTTAATGGAGTACTGACTTGGTCTTAGACATTTCTGTAGATTAAGACTTCTGAAAATGTTTCCTTTGTAGTTGAAATCCCATCCTACGTAACTGCAGCTCTTTCCTAGGGAGTGATTTTACCCAATGAATTTTATAAACACCCTGCCTGACTCTGATTCAAAACTGGCTGAAAAACATGGGAATAGTGGGGACAGAAAACTTCAGGTTCATCTGTCATGCTCATGTCATAATTGAGCACTCTAGTAGCTTGCAATAGTTTAAAACGAAAACAACAACAAACAAAATTTTTGGCATTTGGAGCAAGTTGAAAACTCAAATCAGACATAGTAGACATGTGCTCACTGCTATCCTCTATGGGTAGGGGAGGGCCTTTGAACAACAGACACAAGAGCTGCACTGATAGTCCGTGTAGCAGTCTCTATTTCATTTGTTGTCAGTTTTACTTTGAGGGTGGCCTGGAGTCAAATAGGCGTGCAATGAATTTAATGCCCAACTGACATTTTTTGTGTTGTTATAATGGATCTCATTACACTTAATAAAGGTAACTACAACTCGAAAAGGATGAGTTTACATGTTTCCTACGACTCCAAGAAAGACTGAACTCAGCTGGTTATTCATGAATAGTTCAATTAAGACTAATTAACCAGAAGAGACAAGATGGATAAAATATTGGCCATTAAATGATTCTGTTCAACAAGCACTCATTTGTTATGCTGATAAATATAATGGAACCTAGCTCTGTGAAAAGATACTAGTACCTTGCAACTCAAGTTCCAAACAAAATGAGACCCAAACTTCATGACTTCGCCTGTCAGACCTCACACCACATTCTAGCTATACAATTGTGTGGCCAGCGTTAACTGACCACAACCCTGAATTCACATTTCCCCTCCAGCATGATAACAATGGATTGATTTATTTTAAAGAAGAACCTTTTCTCCTCTATCATCTTGTCTGGAACAGAGGTAATAGACGGATGAGAAAAATCAAAGAAACTTCTAGATCCATCAGAATAGGGGCCTGACAGCCCTACTAAGCAGCAGCCAAGAGGATGGCCTGGGAACCATGCCAGCAAACTTGATGGGTAGTTTGCCTCTCTCAGGTCTCTTGATGAATCCCCAACGGAGGCACTGCTTAACTTTTGACTTTTCAAAGTGGTTCTTCAGGAATGCACCAGAGCAAATGGACTTTTCCACTTCTCTGATTGACAACCCAAAGCAATGTATGCTTTCCCTTTGGAGCTTTGACTCCCAGCGCTTAGAAATCCAGGCCAGTGGCCAGGGTGGAGCGTGGCGCACTCTCTCTGCATGCGCTTGGTTCATTTCAGGGAGTGGACACTACACCGAAAACACTTGCAAGGCACTTCAGATGACCTCTGGGTGATCCAAGGACGTATCAGCTTTTCCAGGAAGCGCATCTCATCTTCCACGTAATGCTGAGGGCCAGCACATATTCTTCCCAATGCCTACTTCCCTATCCATTTTGCCTATTTAAACTCTGAAAGGGCTTGGAGGGCCAGGAATTTGAGGCAACAGGGGAGAACTGATCTCAGGGTAGGGGTGGGTTGGATTTTACTTACACTTCACCAAGCAGAGCTATCTCAGTGACAGATTTAAACACTCCTCTGGCTCCAAAGAACAAATTGTGAGCTGGGTGGAAATGTCAGTTGAGACAGAAGAGCAGCAAACAGCTTTGTTTTCCTATAGTTGTGGTTTTACACGGTGATGACACACGAAGATGAAAATGTGCAGCATGAACTCCAGTTGTTATCTGAGTGAGCATCTCTACCAACACCGAAGGATATGTGTGGGTGTCACCTGCAAGCAGAGAGAGAGAAAGATGGGGCCCTGTTTCGGAAAGAAGAGCCAGTTAATCAGAGATCAACAGTGACAAGTGATGCTGTTTATTTCATAAGTTTTAGGTTCTGTTTCCTTCCCCTCACCAATCTCTGTATCTGCATTTAGTCTGGAGATTAAATAAATCAGCCTCTGGTGACTGAGGAAGGGAGGAAGGGAGTGGGAAAGGTGGACTTGAACAGACATCAGGGAAATTACCAGGAATTGAGTCATTTCTTCGGCTCCTGTGCGTGCACTTAACATTCGCTCTTGAGCTTCTGAAGTGGGGAATCTGCTAACTTTTGGGAACCTGTGACCCATCACAGGGCAGACAAACTTCGGGACAGTACTGGGGACTCTCTTTCACTCCCAACCCTGTGTGACTCTTTATTTCATGGCCTTTATGTTTCTTCCTCCTTTCTCGTACTTCATTCATTTGATAACTATTTAAGGAACACCTACGCAGGCCTACCAAGTGGGCTAGATACTGGGGATGTGGTAACGAGCAACATGGCCATGATTATCTCTGTCCTCATCAAGTGCAGAGTGCATAGTTTGCATATACATTGTTTTGTTTTTCCTGCTCTTTGCACCCTGCTCCTGAGGGTAACCACTTATTGCTGATTGTGAGACTTAAACCTTAATGTGTCTACCTGATTGTCTTTACCTTGTGGGTTTGCCCGAAGTTTATTTCTTCGAGATGTGTTTATTTAACTTCTCTTAATGCTTTTAATATCTTAGAGCAGGAATTGGCAAGATTTTATCTGTAAAGGGTCAGATAGTAAAACATTGTAGGCTTTATGATGATACGGTCTGTTACACTTACTCAACTCTGAGGACTGCAGTGTGAAAGCAGACTCCAATGATAACACGTACAGGAGTCTTAATAACCAAGTTCAGTAGCCACATAGCAGAAAGGCAAAATATTTCTTTTGTAGAATGTACAGCTATTGTGTACATTAATGTACTTTCCTGGCATCCCATATGGGTGCTGGTTTGTGTCCTGGTTGATCCACTTCTGATCCAGCTTCCTGCTAATAGCCTGGGAAAGCAGTGGAAGATGGCTCAAGTGTTGGGCCCCTGCCACCCACACAGGAGATCCAGATGAAGCTCCTGGCTCCTGGGTTTGGCCTGGCCCAGCCCTGGCTGTTGTGGCCATGGAGGGAGTGAACCAGCAGATGGAAGAGCTCTCTCCTTACTCTCCCTGTAATTCTGATTTTCAAATAAGTAAATCAATATTGAAGAAAAGAAGAACCTATTTCATTCATGCAATCCCAGGGACGAATTTAAATGTTACTTAGTTTTTCTTTTCCTTTGCTGAAGAGTTTCTGCCACTCAATCCTCCCCAAACTTGGAAGCGTGGTCTGTGTCTGATAAAGAAAGGAGGCAACCCTGAGATCTAGAAGGAGTTGCTGAGAAGAAGGCAACAGAAGGAGAACTGCTAGGTCAAACCAGAAGAAACTGCAGACATTAATGTTTACAGAAATGTTAATAGACTTAATTTTAGAGCAATTTAGGCTCACTGCAAAATTGAGTGGAAAGTACAGAGAGTTCTCATGTGTTCTCCCACTTCAACAGCCTCCTCTTCCAACATCCTGTACTTGTTCAACAGAAGAACCACAACTGGCACATCACTTTCAACCAAAGTCTATATTCACATTAGGGTTCATTCTCGGTGTTGTACGTTGTGTGAATTTGGAAAAATCCATAGCAGTGTAATCTCCCACTGGAGTGTCAGAAAGAATAGTGCCCACGTTCCACTATTCATCCCTCTCCCCCTGAACAGTTGTAGGAACTGCTACTTCACATAAAAGGACCACATTTACTCTGAAGGGGAAGGAGCTGCCAAGTCTGAGGTGCAGGGTTACCAGCGCCCATTAGGTTAAGGAAGATGCGGGATAAATTCAGTTCTTTAGATGTAGCAACTGGAGACCTGGGCAAGACTAGGTGCCATGGGACGGTGGTGTTCAAAGTGGGATCTTAGCAGGGATGCTGTGAACAGTGAAGAAGAGGAGGCCAAGAGAGTGGAACTTATGGCAAGCTGTTTCCCTGTGAGGAGAGTTTTCTTGGCACCTGAGTTTCTATGGGTCTCACCACCGTCCAGCATACTACGTAGTGGGCCATGGTAGGTTGTGTTTGTTCACTGAGAGCAAAAGAAAATAGGAGGTAAAAGCAGTCTGTTGTTAATAAAGCCAAAGATCCACGTTGTTTATATGTTAAAGAAGAGGGAGTCCATAGAAAGGAAGACGGAAAAGTGGAAGGAAGAAGAGAAACCAGTGATGGTGGAAAGATCCTTGAGGAACGAGGTGGGTGGTGTTGAGGAGGGTGGGAGAATGGTAGGTAGTGCTAGGGAGGCCTGGGGTTGGGTGGAGCAGTGAATCTTGGCCTAACAGGGCCTGGTCCTCTACACACACACACACACACACACACACACACACACGTGTCCAGAGCACGCTGAGCACCCACTCTCAGAGCCTGGACAAAGGTCATTTTGACGAGCTAGTCCTGACTTGCTTGCTGCAGTGTGTGTTAGATGGAAAGGGTTGGACTTTGGGGGATTTATTTTCTGCAGAGTAAACTCTTTTATTCTTCCCTTGTTCAGAGGTACAGAAAGAAATCACCAGTGCTTGCACTATGTTCCCTTTCTACGTTGCCAGAGCTGTTGATCTTTCCCTAGGTGCCCCTCTGCTCCAAAGGGAGCTCAGCTGGTTCTGCAGGAATTATCATCTACACTTTCAAATAATGCCCAAAGGTATGGGAGCTACCGATATGTAGCAAACACCCGAAACTTAATAGCGCAAACAACAACAACCACGTACTACTATTATCTCTTACACTTTGGGGGGTGGTAGGGCTCAGCTTGGTGATCCTTACTTGGGCTCTCTGGGGTCATTCTGAAAGCTGCCTCACACATTCTGGCAGCTGATGGTGGCTGCCAGCCAGGGTTTCAGGAAGGAAAGACTGTTAGCTGGAGGTTGTTGGCCTACAGCATGGGTGGGGAACCTTTTTTTTCTGCCAAGAGCTATTTGGATATTTATAACATCATTTGTGGGGCATACAAAATGATCAACTTAAAAATTAGCCTGCTTCAGATTTATTGAATTTCCAGTCCTGCCTGTGGTTATTTGGCAGGGCCAGACCAAAAGAGTTTGCAGGCGTTATATGGCCCATGGGCTGGACGCTCCCCACCCCTGGCCTACACAGAGCCTCTATATACATTCTGGGATTTCTCATAGTATGACAGTGGGGTTCCAAGGGCAAGGATTCTGTAAAGGAGAAAGGCAGAAGCTGTTTGCCTTGGAAGTTAGAAGTGAGTCACTATGACTAGCCCACACTCAAGGGCAAGAGAATTAGACCCTTCCTTAAGATAGAAGAAGAGTCAAAGAATTTTCAAACAACCGTATCTCAGATCAAAAGCGTTGCTATGAAACAAGCATGGCAAAGTGGAAAAGGTATAGGATTGGGAATCAGGAGACAAGACTTGATGACTAATTGATGACTAATGATGGCTATATAAGAACACTTTAACACTTTTCTTATAAGCTTGGAGATGGAGACATTAAAACACAATATTGGTTGGTGCTGTGGCATATCGGGTAAAGCCACCACCTGCAGTGCTGGCATCCCATATGGCTGCCAGTTCAAGTCCCGGCTGCTCCACTTCCAGTCCAGATCTCTGCTATGGCCTGGGAAAGCAGTAGAGGATGGTCTAAGTCCT